GCCTTGGCCACAACTAGGCATTGATGGACTCACGTATGTGTGCCTCGGCTATGCCTCGGCCCACATTTGCACCTTCGTCCATCAATGCCTCAGTTGCTGGCCGCTACAGTAATGTATTATTTTTAACCCGACCGTCTAGTACAGCAAGCATTTTCAGACGAGAGGAACTGGCAAATAATGAATATAATTACAAATCGTCGACAACCCTACCGCAGTCAGATTCGCACGTCACCGCGCACTGCTTTCCCCGCGCGCGTTGCATTCTGATGCGCGCGCGCAGGCCCCGCCGCACATATACGTATATTGACCTAGCTGGGACGCGGCGCGGTTCACTCGAACAGGTATACCGCGTTCACATCACTTTCACAAACTAATCTATGTTTTTACAAGCGTCTCTTTAGCTGCCCACTTCTCTATGGTCTTAGTTATGCAACTTAGATAAAGAATATTTAAAAAAAAGATGTTTAAAAAACAAATCTTCGTTTACGTAGCTTTTTACACAAAAAAAGTAAATATGTATTTCTGTATTTCTTTATATCACAATGTACTAACTAACCTGCCTTCATCATCACCTATCATCATCTCTCTGGTGGCCCGCTAGCGTATATGCATAGCGTAGGCGGAGTTACCATTCCATTATCACCTATTAAAAAAAAATAGAGACATAGCTATATTTTTTTAATAGGTTTTATAGGTTAGTATTTAGGGTCGGCAAAGCGCGCGTCATACCCCTGGTATTGCAGGCGTTCATAGGCTACGGTAACCGCTTACCATCAGGCGGGCAGTATGCTTGCCACCTCAGTGGTATAAAAAAAAAGCTCAACGGTGGACAGTTAACGGGCGACATGATGATAAAACGTACGCAGAATAAATACAATGACGCCATCTTTTTAAGCCATATGTGAGTGATAACGTAAGCCGCTCCGCTCGGGGAGCGATGGTCCGCGTCTATTGAGAGAAATCCGTTCGTGGACAGGCGTGAATCATTTGGAATAAGTAATGAGGCATATTTGAAATAACGTTCATTGCCAAGGTCGCGCGGACACAGCGCTCGGGTTGACAATGTAATTTTTTTATTATTTCCAATCGAACGACCTTCACAGATACACGAAACGATTTGTCATACTGCACGAAGAGGATAAAATTAAAATTTTTTTATACAACTTAGAATGACAAACAAGCTGACGGCCCACCTGATGGAAAGTGGTAACCGTCACCTATAGACATAAGCAGTACCGTGAACATAACAGAGTATACTGTTTTGCTCATGATACCCCCCATGCGTTGCCATTCCTGAGGACTCAGGTGTTATTCCTTTGTACTCAGTAAATTCACGCCATATCCCATCCTGCAAACCGAAACACAGCCATGCAAACACAACTGCTTCACGGTTGAAACACGAATGGGACAGAGGTACCCAAGCAATCGACTTTTGTACAAAGTCTCCCTCTGGTAAATTATTCTGGTGAATTATGTAATAAGCTAGTCTGTATCACTAAACGAGTGATGATGGAATGGTAACCCCGCCTGCGCTATTGGTATACACCGGCGGGGCACCAGTGAGGGATGATAGGTGACGATGAAGCAGGCCAGTTGGTATATCGTGACTAATTCAGTAATAAATCAATCACGATGGTTTCCAACGGAAACCGTGTGATTTTTTTATTTTATCACCAGCGGCCCGTCCCGGCTTCGCACGGGTGGACATTTTTACAACATTTTAAAAAGTGGTTATTGTGACATAACGATAATAATTGGACATGTAGTGTCGCGAAGTTTTTTGTAGTTATTGATATTTCCTTCAATATTGTACAACATACTTTTGTTCTATCACCAATAGTTTCCGCAGCGCACGCGACCAAAGATATTTTATAGCATTGTTTTCACCTCGAGTTACGTTACTGAAGTTTTAGTAAGGATCCCTAATCTTTTCTAGCAATAAATATAGCCTATGTTACTCAGGGTGAATGTAGCTTTCTAATGGTGAAAGAATTTTTAAAATCGGCAAAGTAGTTTTTGAGTTTATTCATTACAAACATACTATCTATCTATCCTATTTAAGAGCTGCGCTCTTGTCGGTGGAGCTCTCGCCACTCACTACGATTGTCAGCGAGTCCCCTCACCTCTTGATATGACACGACATGCATGCACACAAAAATACAAATCTTTCCTCTTTATAATATTAGTGTAGATTCCTGCTATTTAATTCCTTGTTCTTGATCGTAATATATCCAAAATCTGTGATCATATCAAGTTTGATGTAAACATCAATGTAGACTCGCCCTCTGCCGTGTACACTGATGCCTCGCTAGTTTTTCTCGTGAACCCGGAACCACAGATAACACAAGTAACATACTGGCACGTCGTATCTATTCTATAATCTAATTTCAAAAGCAACTCGGCGGATTTTAAGAATTCTTTCACCTATAGAGAGTTACGTTATCAGTGTGTAAAATGTACCCTTAGAATAGCTAATATATCCATAGAAATGCTTCGAGAAAAACAGGTCAACGTTTTCATACAATTTTGCGTGATAAATAGTTACCTTTATGACTTCTATATTTATTTTATCTTATAAATTCTGCATCTTTCTAAAGCATTAATACTCATTTATTAAATAATACGTCAAAATACATTTTATGCGTAAGTATATAGAACACTGATAAAAAAAAACGAGTCAGCTAATTTGACAATCAGCTGACAAAAAGTTGACCCGTTTTTTAAACTCGATGCTCTCTTTACACAATCTAAGCATGGGCCATATATTATCAACGACAAAAACTTTGATACCCCATCAAAAATAAGAATAATGTAAAGCCATCATCAGGCTTTAACTGTCCACTGCTAAAAATAAACTTTCCCCATATGAGAAGAGATTCGCCTGTTGTTGCCTGTTGCCACGCTTGGCAGGCGAGCTGGCGACAGCAGTTAGGCTTTGGAGATGTATTAAAAGAGACGCTGCTGCCCATCCCTTGCTCTCTCTTTGTCGCCTCTTACAACACCCATGGGAAAGGAAGCGGTGGCGTATTCTGTGTTGGGACCATACGGCGAATGTAAGCCAAGGTACCAAAAACATGCCTATTAAAGCTGATATAAGTTGCTAGCTTATCATTCTTCTTTTGTCTTATAAATTGAGTAAAACTACTTTACTGTCCCATTTTTAAAACTCGAAATGTTTGCAAATAATATTTAACCGCCAACACAAAATATTCTACACTTATAATAAATCTGTAGAGAGGTCAATTCTGTACATGAAATATATTTACAAAATAACTATCACGCGGTGATTAGTGATCGATACTGATGCCAAAAATGCAATCAGTAAAATTTTTGTATGTTCGTTATAGAAACAAAAACTACTCAACGGATTTTAACGAAACTCGGTACAATTATTCTTCATACTCCTGGGCAGGTTAGAGTATACTTTTCATCACGCTACGATCAATAGGAGCGGAGCGGTGAAGGGAAATGTTAAAAATTTCCACCCGTGCGACGCCGCGACGGGCCGCTAGTATAAAATACGAGTAAAATCATATAGCGAACCAAACTTCTTTAATTGCTAAATTAATGAACAGACATTACACAAGTTTATTCTTATTTCTATAATGAGACGAGATGACGTTCAAAGTAGAACAGTCGTTTGTTTCCCGCGTTTTTGTGACAATAGGAAGTGTCTGGGCCAATTCGCACGCTTCCAGTTTCACTTTTGACTTTTGAACCGCCCGCGTTACTTTGTATTTGTCTATGGTTTAATAAAAGTTTCAATTTTACGACGATAGGTAACATTTTGTTTAGTAAATAATTTAATACTTGTAATATAATAGATTAAAAAAAAAAATTTGTTTATGACTTAAAAATTATTGTTTTTAATTTTAATTATCAGCAATCAACGTACCGTACCTATTTTCGGTACATTCTTTTAAAATTATCAATTATTTCTTTTTTTTTTATGATACATATCGTTTAATACAGTAGTTTATCTTATCTTTATTTCGCTTCGTTTTTTTTTTTTTTTTTAGTACGTTTGTTCCGTTTGGATTTCGCTTCGTCTTCTAATGTCAAATTATTTTTTGCCGCACCTCGCACCTATCAGACCCTTCCTGTCGGGTCGACCTCCACGCGGATTTCGTAGAAACCATTGTGATTAGTACATATGTAATTTATCACGATGGTCTAACTGACCTGCTTTCATCCTCACCTATCATCTCTCACTGGTGCCCCGCCAGCGTATAACGACAGTGCAGGCGGGGTTACTATTCCATTTTTACTTATAAAGTACTGGCTATATAGAAAAAATGCGCGCTTTGCTTTATAAAAAAAAAAAAATAACGTACTACTAAGCGCTAGTCGACAGTTGGTAGACCATAGTTATTTTTAGAAGGTTTTTTGACATTTGTCACCCCATAATTACTTAATAGAAGAGACAAACAGAGACAGATAGAGTGAGTGAAGAGAGAATACAGATGTGACATTATTTAAACCATTTGTAATAAATAATAAATAACATTATAATAACAATTATTTTGAATCAATATTTTCAATTCAATAATGCTTATTTTTATAATATTTTAAACTTAGAAGGTGCCTAGAATGATTAGTGCATTCTTTATCTAATCATCACTATCACAAGGTCACGTTGATTTTATAAAAAATAAAAAAAAAAAAAAAAAAAAAAAAAAAAAATTAAAAAGGCAAAGGCAACGCGCACGTGACACCCCTGGCGTATCGTGCGTCTTTAGACTATGATAAGCGGATAACGGCTGGTCGTATGCTTTGCCTAGTATAAATACATAAAACAGCCTGTCATATTTAATTAGCTGTAAAATTCTAAAATATGACATCATTGACAATTTTATCACATACTTATACAGTCGTTGGTTATTTCCTAATCAAAATAACAGGATGTCCAACAAATATGTATAGGTACACGTAAACATATGCATCTAATGGCCCGATTTCGCAACGCATCCAACCAAACGCAAATTCTTATTATACCATACAACGTAAAAACCGAGCAATACTTTTTTTTTTGCACTAAAATGCAGGCACAAACGTTTGCTGTCGCAACTCTGCGATTCCGCCAAAATTTGAATTTCGAATTATTATTTTTTTCACTTGTCACATACACTGCTTCCGAATCACCTTCAGCACCATAGACACAGACCGTTGACACTTTGTTTGTAAGCGCGAAACGTACTCACGCGCTGAGCGTCGACCGCTGACTGGAAATGATGACGTACTCATAATACCATGTATGGATAAATTCCGCCATTCGTGATGATAATTTTGGGGTTACGTATGACTAAAAACAAACCGTTTTAATTAGCAACTGTTGCGCTTGCTTGTTCTTACCGACAAAGTCCTGTAGTGTCTTAATTACATTGTATTTTTTATGATACATACACGATATTCTCATTAAAAGAAAGGGCTTAGATATAGCAATCAAAAATTCATATTTAAAAAACGAATTTTACTTTTTTCTAATGATATTTTTTTCTAAATATATATTTTTTTTAAATTTATATTTTATTTTATTTTAAATATATTAGGCTTTGGCATGAAGGTATTAACCAAAATAGAGTTTTTTTTTTTAAATATATCGCATCGTCATTTCTTAAAAAGCGCGACCGCTTGATTAATATGTCTGCCATGACCGGCGACCGAGAAAAAAAAATTAAAAATACATATTACTGTGTGGTATTTAAATTATTTTACATAACTATTAACCTTGATAGCTTGGAGAGAATGCATGAAGTAGCATTAAGTCCAAATCTTACTGATATATTAAAAATTGTAGCTAGATGTCTGTACGTCAAAGATTTTCTTTTTATACAACTTAGAACAGCAAACAAGCTGACGGCCCACCTGATGGAAAGTGGTAACCGTCGCCTATAGACATGAGCAGTACCGTGGACATAACAGAGTATACTGTTTCGCCCATGATACCCCCCATGCGTTGTCATTCCTGAGGACTCGGGTGTTATTCCTCTGTACTCAGTAAATTCACGCCATATCCCACCCTTCAAACCGAAACACAGCCATGCAAACACAACTGCTTCACGGTAGAAACACGAATGCGACAGAGGTACACAAGCAATCGACTTTTGTACAAAGTCTCCCTCTGGTAAGAAAAACTGATATGAGAGGGATAGAGTAATAGAAGCCAATATATGTTATTGTACTCGTGCTTTCCTGGGTGAGCGTATTGGAATACTGTAAGGCTCACCCAGTGGATGTATATATATTCTTTATTGCACTTGTAAATTACAATGTTAATGCATTTATAAATATTGTGAGCAAGGGTGGACTTATCTTTGACAGAGATCTCTTCCAGTCAACCCAATGCAGTTAGAAAACATGTTGCTAGCGGGCAGCTGAAGTGGATGTAATGTAACAAATAAATAAATATCTTTTAGAAATTTTGTACATCTGTTTCCTGTATATATGTTTACTTCAGCTTCACGCAAAGCATACTGCACCAAATTGGATGCGGTTTTCGCAGTTATATCCTTATTATAATCATTGTCTTGAGTTAACTACGCAATGCGGAACATAGAGCACCCCCATAAGGAGGGTTTCGCCAGTAATTGTCACTGCAAATAAGCGTTTTTCGTCACCTTTTGATGTTTTAAGAGGGATTCTGCTGCCTAGGCTTAACCATTAAATTTCCTTGTCGCCTCTTACGACACCCACGGGAAAGGAAGGGGTGGTCCATTCTATGCCGGGACCATACGGACTATAAAAACAATTAATAAATACATTTCCTGAGGGGGGGGGAAAGGGATTGTTAGTAATAGAGACTAAAAATCCCATTGCTAGTAATATACCCAACCAGGTCGACCCCCTCGTGGTTCCCCCTGGAAACTATCATGGTTAATTCCTGATGAATGCATCATGATGGGCTAACTGGCCTGTTTTCATCCTCACCTATCACCCTTCACTGGTGCTCCGCCAGCGTATCCCGTTAGCGCAGGCGGAGTTACCAATCCATTTTCACCTTTAAAAAAAAAACATTTCCTGAAGGGTCACTTCGAAAAATACTCACCTATCATCCGTCACTGGTGAGGGATGATAGGTGACGATGAAAACGCAGGTCAGTTAGCCCATCGTGACGAATTCCACTAGAATTAACCACGATGGTTTCCAGGGGGAACCGCGTGGAAGACAACTTGATACACCCTGCTAGCCTTGGGTCAGTTAGACTCCATTACTGACAATCCCTTTCCCCCGCACAAGCGGAGTTACCACTCCATTGTCATCCATTAAAAAAAAAACTTCGAAACACACGGAACCCTCACGGCGCGAGCTCTACTCGCATTGCCAGGGTTTTTCACTTATCGTTATCTCCGTTTATCAGTTATATTTTTAAAGTCCATCGGAGCAGCGCGAGGACATCGGCGAACGACTTGTTACACACAAAAGGTGCAGCGCGCGGACGTCTCGAGGAAGCAGCCAATTTACACATCTCCATACAATGAAAACAAACTGGGTTAACATCGCATCGGACGCGTTCCTTTCACCTATTGATACTTCACCGTGAATAAGATGGGCGTGGAGGTTCTCTTAGTTCTTTTTTTAATAGACGATAATGGAATGGTAACCCCGCCCGCGCTATCGGTATACACCGGCGGGGCACCAGTGAAGGATGATAGATGAGGATGAAGCAGGTCAGTTAGCCCATCGTGACGAATTCAACAAGAATTGTTCACGATGGTTTCCAGGGGGAACCACGTGGAGGTCGACCTAATAGGGTATATTGCTAGCAATGGGGCTGTCAGACTCTTCCCCCCCCCCCCCTTGTTCTCAAAGTTACATGTATTCAGTCCACCGCACACTTTGAGAATCCATTATTTTATGACGACCCCTATATATTTTATCTAGTCTTTATTACTAGCGATCCGACCCAGATACGCACGGGTAGATTTTTTTTTATTTTTTTTATACAACTTAGAATGGCAAACAAGCTGACGGCCCACCTAATGGAATGTGGTAACCGTCGCCTATAGACATGAGCAGTACCATGGACATAACAGAGTATACTGTTTCGCCCATGATACCCCCCATGCGTTGCCATTCCTGAGGACTCGGGTGTTATTCCTCTGTACCCTGTAAATTCACGCCATATCCCACCCTTCAAACCGAAACACAGCCATGCAAATGCAGCTGCTTCACGGTTGAAACACGAATGGGACAGTGGTACTCAAGCAATCGACTTTTGTACAAAGTTTCCCTCGATACAATTTCAACAGTTGTGGCCTTGAAGGTCATACTTCAAGTCTGGTGTATGTTTCATCTTGAAGCGCCAGTTAGAAGTGGTATGTTGCATTGGGTTTTCTACTTCTAAGCAAACTACTATTACTAGTGTTGCCAGATATCCCGATTTTCAAAGGTGTGGGGACGCGTCCCAATTTGTACCAGATCGGGACGCTAAATGTGCCGATTAACAAAAAAAATGAAAAAGTTTTTTCATAAAAAAGAAAATATATTTACGCTACATATGTATATTACTACGTATTATGTATATTTACACTTAAAGTACTGATTTTATTTTATAGTTTTTTCTACTAGTCCAGCAAGACTCTGTTATGTAAGATTAAATACATATTTAATTTAGATAATTAATGTAATACTATACTTGCACTAGTAATTTAAAACGCAATAAATCGAACACAGAGTTAAAAACCCCTTATTTTTGTTTACTTTCCCGATCTGCAATCCTAAATCCCGATTTTTTTACCTCATGTACCGATTTAAAACAAATCGGATCTGGCAACACTAACTACTACTTCGAAGTAGCGAGCAAAATGATATTTATTTTTAAAAAACCTCGAACATACGGACCCCTGGATGTTAATACTAAATAATTACCAGATATATCCGAGCCGAGTGAGACCACGTGCGCGCCACACGGCGAACCGGCGCGCCGCCGGTCGGCCCGGCGTTTTTTATGCAATTTAGAATGGCAAACAGGCTGATGGCCCACCTGTTGGAAACAACCGTCGCCTATAGACATGAGCAGTACCGTGGACATAACAGAGTATAATGTTGCACCCATGATACCCCCCATGCGTTGTCATTCCTGAGGACTCGGGTGTTATTCCTCTGTATCCTGTAAATTCACTGCCATATCCTACCCTTCAAACCGAAACACAGCCACGCAAACACAACCGCTTCACGGTAGAAACACAAATGGGACAGAGGTGGCCAAGCAAACGACTTTTGTACAAAGTCTCCCTCTGGTATGTATTCCTAATGTAACCGTACGGAGTCGGGCCGATTCGCTAGTATCTTATATGACCCGATTACGTCACCGATTCTGAAATTTTGGGGATTCTTTTGCTCTCGACAAATTCACTCCAACTTTAAAGTGTCCTTTTTCTTTCTTTAGCGCTAAATCTATTCGAATCGTAACGAATTTTTTCACGAATAAAAATCGCGGTATTTTTTACTTAAAAACAAAGAACAATTTTTATAATTATCTATATAGAAAACTCATTTATAGAAAGTTTGTAATTAGTAATATTAAAATTTTAATTTATTTTGCACTTGCAGCATACATTTTAATGTATTAATATTTCTAAAACAGGAAGCGCACGATAATCTGTGGTCGTGACTCAGACGGCCTACAGGGCACAGATGCGGTCACAGGCAGAAATAACTCGTAGCTTTGTTATTTTATACTACAATGTATCTAGTATTGGTGTAAAATCACAAAAGATACCTTTAAATATCTACATAAATCCTAATCTCACGTCAGACTGGGCGTAGCGCTTTTGCCTTTAAAAACTATTGAATTGACATAGTTCTTTATCTAATTTTTTTAGTCCAAAATGTCAACTGGAAATTTGGCGGGAAATTAAATATACTTAACCTAAAAAACACTTATAAGCTTGTAGTTTGGATTGTTTCAAAATAAACAACAAAAACATTGTGGCCCTCATAAAGGAGTTTTTGTTAATTGGTGGCAATAAAAGAACTTTTGTTTCGACGCCACAACAAGCTTTGTGTAATTGGAGATCGCGGACCTCGCCTCGGTTGGTGTGTTACTCGGACATTCCATGCAGCCAGACCCATTGTTGAGGTCCGATAGAAAATATACGACCTCGCTGTAGGGTGGAGGGCTGGCGACGAATGAAACTTACGAGTTGACTGTTTTAATACTATTATATTTAGAGTTTAGGTTTTTATTTAATTAACTTTTTTTTTTTATACAACTTAGAATGGCAAA